CACCAGGTTTGCTATTCATTATCCATAATTCATAATCTTAATTTTAACTTTTTTGCTTGAATTTAATTTTAACTTTTTTGCTTGAATTTAATTTTAACTTTTTTGCTTGAATTTTTTATATTGAATATTATATTGAATAAAATCCATGAATGAATGAATCCACCATCAACTAAACTGCCTTAAAAAAAAAAAAAAAAAAAAGGTTAGTGTGGGAATTGAACACACAACCACCAGGTTTTCCGTAACATGACTAGTCTATTTTTTTTTTACTAATTTGCATAATGAATTTTTCAAAAATGTTTGTCTATTTTTAAAAAAGTGCGTAAGTTATGGAAATGGTAACAATCAAAAATCGATTATAGATTTAACTCTACATTTTTAGACAAAAAATAAACCCCCTTGGCCCACGGCCCATTTTTGACACCATGACCATGAGTAATATTAACCTGCAGTGTATATATATACAAAGATTTTTTTCTAGGTTTATCGCATTTATGGCTTAGGGGCCTCCCTCCGTTTAGTCATGCTGGATCAGGGGTAGTAAACTCAGCGATCGTGGGTTCGATTCCCACACGGGGCAAGTTTTTTTTAAATTTTTTTTATTAATTTTTATTTTTTTGAAGGTCGTGGGTTCGATTCCCACACGAGCCAGTTTCTTTTTTAATTTTTTTTTAAATTTAAGGCAGTTTAGTTGATGGTGGATAATGAATAGCAAACATGGAGATTGTGTGTTCGATTCCCACACGAACCATTTTTTTTCTTTAAGGCAGTTTAGTTGATGGTGGATAGTAAATGTATTGTACTCGTTAATGACGTCGCGAAATAACAACAAACAACAACGTGTCATGTCCGAGTAGGCCGTCATGGAAGCTCACTGGCTCCTGTGTAATTCATGTTGGGCTAACTGCAGACGAAAAGGTTACAATCCTTTCAGAGATAAGCTGGAAGAAAGTTTTAGACAGTGCCCATCAATGGAAGGATTTTAATACTGAGGAATGGAAGTTAGCGAAGTCCTGCTTGCTTAACCGTTTTTCTTCGATCGTCGCTTCCAACCATCTAGGCGCGTCTAGCCTAAAGAAAGCCTACTTTACACGTAAAATTCAAATAATGTGGACCCAGTTTCTTAAAAGTTGACCCATTTTACGCAAAAATATAAAAAAAATCTGGACCCATTTTCTCAAAATTTTACCCATTTTAGGCTAAATAATAGAAATCTGTACCCATTTTTTATAAAGTGGACTCATTTTATATACCGTATGCATGAAATTGTATACTGTAATTTTGACCCATTTTTAAAATGTGGACCCATTAGAAAAATTGTGTGGGACTGTTCCAACAGCTGGCTACTGCATTGCTCTCAATCTGTAAAATCCTTCCCTCCCACCCCCATATCAAATTCCTAAACCCGCTACTGACAGTGGTGTTTCCTCCATCAATGAATTCCCTCCCTAGCCTCTCATCAAATGCCTAGATCCGCCACTAAAACCGTATGCCTCTTCAGAAATCGATTAAATATGACCTCAAGTTATCAAAAATGCTTGAGCTGCACCACTTCGATCGCCCAGCAGCAGTGTTCCCCCAAGTGCCACCCTCCCCCCATCTCCGGCCATATAATCATACATTTTCTTACCTCAGGCCCAGCCATGGTGGGGCTGAGGTGTTATCAAAAATGCTTGAGCTGCACCACCTCGATCGCCCAGCAGCAGGGTTCCCCCAGGTGCCACCCCCTCCCTCATCTCCGGCCATATAGAGGTGCCATAATCATAAATTTTCTTACCTCAGGCCCAACCATGGTGGGGCTGAGGTGTCATGGACTCTCCAACTGTAAAATTCCTTCCCTTGCCCCCGTCTATATCAAATTCATAAATCCGCCACTGACACTGGGGGGTTCAAGAAGCCCAACATCTGTACCTATTTTTTATTAAGTGGACTCATTTTATATATGCATGAAATTGCATACTGTAATTTGGACCCATTTTTAAAATGTGGACCCATTAGAAAAAGTGTGTGGGGCTGTCCCAACTGTCCCAATAGCTGGCTACTGCATTGCTCTCAATCTGTAAAATCCTTCCCTCCACCCCCTATATCAAATTCCTAAACCTGCCACTGACAGTGGTATTTCCTCCATCTATGAAGTCCCTCCCTAACCTCTCATCAAATATAGATCCGCCACTAAAACCGTATGCATCTTCAGAAATCGATTAAATATGACCTCAAGTTATCAAAAATGCTTGAGCTGCACCACCTCGATCGCCAAGCAGCAACCTGGGTTCCCCTAAGTGCCACCCCTCCCATCTCCGGCCAGTATAGAGGTGCCATAATCATAAATTTTCTTACCTCAGGCCCAACAATGGTGGGGCTGAGGTGTCATGGACTCCAACTGTAAAATTCCTTCCCTTTCCTCCCTCTATATCAAATTCATAAATCCGCCACTGACAGTGGGGGATTCAAGAAGCCCATCTGAATTTAGTCCCCCCTCATTATTAAAAAAAAGAAAAGAAAACAAAAATTAGGGGAAAAAAGAAAATGATTTTCAAATTGTATGAGAGTGCAAGGATATTAAATTTTCTTCCCTCAGACTCAACTATGGTGGGGATGAGGTGGTATTTCCTTCATCTGTGAAAGTTTCCCCATAGTGTGAAAGTCTCTCCCAGGCCCCTCTTGAAATTTCCGCCACTGAAAAACCGTATAGGGCCTATGCATCTTCAGAAATCGATTAACTAAGACCTAAAATTATCAAAAATGCCTGAGCTCCGCCCCCTCGATCCCTGCAGGATCCCCTTCCCCTAAGCGCCCCCTTCCAATTTTGGTCCAATCTCTACAAATTCGCACCCACCTAATAAAAATCCTGCGTACGGGCCGCGGATCGAACTATTTTAGTGGCGTTGTTGGACGACGGGACCGGGCAGGGGATCCATCCAGGCTTGCCCGACGGGTACGGAGAACCTATAAATTGTCATGTGCGTCACGAAATTAACAATTCCAGCGCGATGCAAAGCAGATACGGCTCCATTAACTGTGGATCCAGGGGTTCAAGGGGTTCGGACAAACCCCCTTCCTGTGAAGAAACAACAAAATACTACTGGTCCTGGCTTACAAAAGGCATGCTAACCTACCAATTAGGCATGTAGCAGATCGGACAAATTAGGCTTAGCCCAACTAGCTTTCAATCGGTTCATACGGTAATCCATGGAAGAAAGACTACGTATCCAACTAGGCCTACTCAATATTGTTGGAGTATAATAATATATTGCCTAGCTATGTCTTTGTTTTTTTTTTCTCTATGTATATGACTCAGAATGATACAAATCACTTCTTGACCTTTTTTTAAAAGAGGGAAAACCTCAAATTTTGAAGAAATAAAAGGTCATTAAAAGACACCTCAGAAGTCGGGAAAGCTCATTTCCGGCCATCTAGGAATTAAAATTTTCCCTGGGCAGGACCCCCGGATCCCCCCTTTCATTTTCGTTTTTCTGGAACATTTTGAAACCTTCTCCATCCCCCTCTTTCAAATCCTGGATCCGCCCCTGATTAAATAACTTCAAATTTTAAATAAGAAATAGATTCCAGAAGCCAATTGATACACAACAAAATTGCTCATTCTGTTCGGGAACCGCTTCCCTACTACGGTGTTATATGATTGTTTTAGTGGCGAATTTACACCCAGTTCTGGTGTCAACTTAATTGTAGCAACCTCCCAACAAGGATGTTAGCGATCTGTCACTCCAAATGAGCAACTACCGTACTCGCGCCCCTCTGGAATAAGCGTGAAAATTTACTTAAGCGCGCCGTTTGAACAAGGCAATTTAAATTTTTTTTAAATTTTGTTGAATTACCTTGGTTTGAATAAGCGCCCTTTCAATAATATCATGTGTGATTTTTTTTTAAGCAAGTCAATAATCCAATAATTAATCCTGGGACTGTGGATGTTGGCATGATTTGAGCTGCGGAGTGGAATCACATTCTCCTTTATAGGTCAACATCAAAATGAGGATATTTCTCTTGGACAGATGAGAGCTCCCCAGAGTCCTTTCCAACTTTTATCTTCTTACATTTGTCTGGGCCTAGTCCTACTTCTTTTCCGACAATTTGTACCTATAACACATTCTCATCTGAGCTTTCAAGCAGTGGCGGCTCTAGGATATATTTTCTGGGGGGGGTGTCCGACAGGGGGGACTTGAGCTCGTAGGCTCGAGCTGGGAGAAGGGGTTGAGAGGGTGTTCCCCCTCCAAAATGAGATTTTTTTTAAAGAATATCAACCTCTAGATGGCCGAAAATGGCACTCTCAGACTGTGACAGACATGTGTTGGCTTGGTGTGGGCCTATTTTTATATGCTTTATGGTCTGACTGCCCGACGAGCTCTGTCCGGCAGGGGGCTTGACCTGTCCGGTGGGGGGCTTAAGGCCCCCGCCACCCCGCTGGCGCCGCCACTGCTTTCAAGAAAACCTGCAATGATAATGTCATCCTGCTTATCTCAATCGGCCCATGGCCAACAAGCTTACCACCGCCACCACCACTATTTTCATTTGCTATCCTGTTATGTAAATAGGCTACTCACAACATTCTGGTCATGATGAGCCATGCTCTCTGGAAGATTACAGTATCTTTTCCGCTGCACAACCGTTCATAATTTGCGGTTTCCCGATGTCCTTATATAATCGTTTTTTATTCAAAAAGTGCCTCTTAAATTCAATAACTTCTCATAAGAACCCCTCGATTCTCATCTATTCCATAAGCAGCCCCCCGCCCCTCAATTTCCACTGTTTTCATAAGCGCCCCGTTTGAATAAGCGGCCCTCAAAAAGTGCCAAAAAATATTTTAAGCCCCCTAGCGCTTATTCACGCGAGTACGGTATATTTAAAATATTTTATACTTTTAACGTTAATAAGCATTTTTAATGTCAACAGTGAAACACACTATGCTTAGATGGTCATGAATTAGTGAAATTGCTTATTATTTAGATAAGAACACAAAAAATAATTCCAAAAATTTACGATAATTGTATTTTTTACGATAATTTTAGTTTATTATATTTTACATAGGACAGGTAAAACAATTCATATACATTAACCTATGGAATGATATACACAATGAATTTTTGAATTCATTATCTTCTTGTACAATACTTTCACAAAATTCCTTCAATCCTGGATAGTGGATACTCATTCTATGAGAACATAGTTCTTCCTTGAGGAATGGAAAATAATAGGGAGTAGAGCGAGTGATAAATGGGGAGGGGGTGCAAAAAGAGAGAGAGAGAGAGAGGGAGAGAGGATCATAATTGCTGGGTTGATTAGAGCAGAACACAAATATCAACACTGAGCATGTTCATACGCAACCGATGAAACACACGTAATGCGTAAGGCAAGAATTATTTTTATTCCTTGTTTCGAATTATTAGATTATCGGGGGGGGGGGGTCAAATAAAAAAAAAAAATTTTGTTTTCTTATTTAGCAAATACTTCTGCCAAATTCATCCAGACAGACGAGAAAATAAAAAAATATAATAAAATTTCATTTGTGAATGTAAAATAGGATGGTTAAATGCTTCAAATTTATATATTTAGGAAGAAATATACATACCTTTGGAGATTTCAAGAAAAATTTATTTTTCTTCCTGAAATTTCCACTTTTCGTGGAGGCGTGTGCACTAATTGGCCGAAAATAAAAGTTTATTTTTATTTGAAATCAGTCGGTGGGTTAGCTAAAGAAGGTATAAAAAAAGTCTCACTTAACCTACACACTGTACGTCTGAGGATATATTAATTCTACTAACCTATTCTACTTCCAGTTTTAGTGTACATTTAACCACAAACCCACACAAACACTTCAACAAACTTTTACCAATTCTGTGGTTTCTTCTGGTGATTTATGTATATATAATAATGCAGAAACTCAGTGTTTTTGCATCATTATTATTGTTTTATTATTTGAACACATGTCGACCAATGTATACATATATATATATATATATATACACGTATATATATATATACATATATATATATACACATATATATATATATTATATAATAATAATTAGTTTTATATGACAATCTAACATTTAGAGCTATAACATATTACACTAGAATATTTCGGTGTGAAATGGTAATTCAGATACATTTTGTGTTAATTGATCCTATTATGTAAACAATTCTGAAGCAACACCATTCTAAATTAAAAAACTAATTATAGTCAGTTTTAAAACATTTTGTAGACGATTTAAAATGATTGATCTTTCAATGAACGGCTTAAAATCAGTATATCATAATTACAATTTTCACTATTCTATTTTATAAAATCCAATCTATTGAACATGCCACAGTTATATCTATTTGTTTAAAGAAACATCTGAATATATATTTTGCAGTCTAAATTTAATAATATTTAAACATAACAAAATTCTAATGCATACAGTTTGCTCACTAAATACAATTTTTATTTTTAAAATTATTAAAGCTGGATATGAAATTGAAAAAAACTATCTTTGTTAAAATTATTATTGCACCAATTCAAAACAAACATTACCTCTATCAAACTATTAAATATTTTTATTACATATTTAGTTTTCACAACATTTTTAATTTAACAGTTCCTTTCCAATATTTTACCAACAATTCATAAAATTTTTTTTTTAAAACAAATACTTTCCACTTTATTACATTAAAAAAAATTCCTTTCAAATTTTCAGAACAGAATTCTTATCAACAAACATTTTCTACTTCTTACATACAACGTTCCAACTTCTACCTACAATTCCTTTCCTTTTTTTCTACGTTTGGTTTAAAACCTGGGTCGATAAAAACTGGAAACAACTTTTACCCACAAGTCCTTTCAACAATTTTCATCCATGATTCCGACTTTAATCATCTATAACAATGGAAAGAGCACGAATATCGGACAACTTCTGCTGTAAGATAACTTCATATTTCTCATCATCAATAACAGCAAATTCCTCGCCTTTCAAATGCGCTGCAAGTTCAGCATATATATGAAAGCACTCTGTGTAATAGTTAACTTGTGATTTAATGAGGGCCTCAAAGCAAGGCTGGAAGTAAGCTATCCTGCCATCAAAGAACTGCGGGAGCTCCTCCATCAACTGCGTGTGCTCTGCTTCGTACTCCACTCTCGCTGCATTCAAAGCTTTCTTAGCCTGCGCAAGACAAATTTTATTTTATACATTAATATAGCATTAATAAAAATATAACAGAAATCGTAATGATAAACAATGTATATTTGCATAGCGCCCTGGTATCCATCAAACTAGATGCTCATGTAAATTGATGTGTGGCGTTATAGCCAGTTCAGTAGCTTTAGTCGCCCCTAAGGGGTCACTTTGTTATCTATGCAACCTAGTAAACTGGTTCTAGCAACTTTCGTCATCCACCACAAAGGCTATACAGACCAGTAAACTGGGGTTTCCCACTACTTTTCTCGAATGATGTACTTCGGTTCATTAAAGAGCACAGAAGCCAATAATTGTGCACACTGGGACTACGGTTCATAGTTCGTATCCAAGAAGACGTGTTCTACCACCAGTGGCGTATCTAGGGGGTGCGCAGGGACGCACACCCCTCCAAAAATTACTCTTGTTCCTCCAGTTACCCCACCCCCCCAAAATCAGGGTCAAGTTGTTAAAAAATACCTAAAATCATCTTATTTTGCGAAGTAGTGTCCCTCTACTGATCACTGAGCACCCCACTTCACCAGCACCCAAATTTCAAGACTTCTAGATACGCTACTGTCTACTACCAGGACAATAGGCAAGCTTGCTGCTCGAACCAGCGCCGATGTTATGGCTTCAGATTATGGCACACCAGCCTAACCACTCAGGCCAATGGTTGTGGAGTTGTACATTGTAAATTACCATGGAGCACATAACATTTTTCGGGGCTTCAGTGCTTAATATAAATGATTGGAATGTTAAAATTGTAATTATTAAATTTAAAAAAATTTGGTTAAATAATTTCTTGACAATACCAGATATCAAGGCATGATGTAATATAGTATGTACTCTCAATTAAGTGTTCCAAATCCAATTACCAAAATTTTCTGAATATTTCATTGTCAATTAATGGTAACTTAGTTGATATGGTTGATAGTTAAGCATTTAGGCATCACTTTTGATAGTTTTTTCACTTGGAACATGCATATTGAAAATGTATGTTCAAAGATTTCCCAGCGTATTGGAGTGATTCGAAGATTAAGAAGTTTTATTCCTTATTTTTCTCTTAAACTTTTCGCTAATGCCATTTAATGCCACTTTTTGATTACTGCAGTTCTGTTTGGTCCAATTGTACAGTAGCTCAACTCACTACAAGTATTATTAAATAGGCTTGCCAGAATTATTTTATATGTTGATATCAGAACACCTGTAGACAATTTTATGAAATCTCTAAATTGGAAGTATGTAAATAATTCAATGATGGGAACAAAATATACTAACAATGACTTTTAAATGTTTAACACTACAGGCACAGTTCCCGAGTACTTAAATAATTTCTTTGAACTAATGAATAATTATCACGGTCTAAACACAAGAAGCAAATAAAAAAATACATTAGTTTTAGCAAAATGGAACAATGAATTTGGGTAAAAACATTCAAATACTGCTCAATTAAACTGTGGAATAATCTGCCCCCAGATACTCGCAGTTTAATTGATTCTTTTAAACTTTGCATTCCTTCAAAAACTTGATTTAACAAAAAATCTTTTTCGTCTTGCTTCTTATGTTTACCAAAAAAACCTTTTCCTACAGACCTACCAATTTTTTTCCAAAACATGGCCAACACAGAATTTTGTGGCCTAAACAATAAAATATGGAGTAAAACATTTTATAAGAAGCATTTTATAATACAGTTACCTGTTCAAATTTAACAATGTTGGGACCAGTCCGTTCTTTTTCTTGATATTTTTCCATCTTAGCATGAGCTTTTCTGAATTCCTGTAGCAACTGTTCACGTTTTCTAATGGCCGAATACACACTAGGGAATATAGCGCTGAACTTCTTCATTGGATCTATCATGCAGCGCTGCGCATTCTCATTCTGAAGTGAAACAAGTTGACTGAATGAAATACCGTCCACTCATCAAACTTTCTGCGAAAAATATCTGTGATTTTCCCATACTGTATACAGGCACGATGATGTCATATCACACCCATATGGGTAAATCACCAGTATTTGTCGTAAGTGGAGAGAAATTATAGTTTATATTGAAAATGTTGGTAACAATATACATTTTTACTTAAATTGCCTGTAAACAGTGCAGGGATGGCATTGGTGTGGTGTTTCTGTTCTTGTAGCTTTAGTAGAGTTCACAGTAATTTTTGGTTCCTTTTATCCTGTAGTGCCTTGGATTTGTGCACTTCATAAATCTTATCATTATTAATTTTTATCATTATTATTATTATTATGAAAATGGTGATGATGATATTGATGATGATACTGATTAGGATGATAATAATAACAATGACAATGATACTGATTAATGGTTAATTATGATCAAACACTTTGTACAACTTACAAATTGAACCATAAATTCGTCAACACTTGAAATACTTGCATACATTTCTTCAAACTCTTTGAAATCATCCTCTGTATTTAAAAGTGGGCTCGCAGCTAAATCCTGTCCTATACGACACTGTAACTTAGACAACTGAGCCATGCTGTCTATGCATTTTTTCATGTCTTTATATAACTTCTTGGTAGCTTCATCAAGGCTGTGACAAAGAGATTAGTAGAATAGATTTGTTTATATTAATATTAACAGTTAAACGAATTTTAATAGCAGTTGCGTATACCAGTGTGTCAGGTTTCATGAAATAAAAATCGCAAAATAATGTTATTATAAAAGATCACCATAAAATATTATGTAAACAAAATTCAATAAGTGTTTCATACCACCTTTTTTTGCCAGTTAGCCCTCCCACCCTCACTTTTTCATCGAGCACACCCACTTCACCTTCGTGTCCCCCATTACCCCCTTATTACAATAGCCTGAGCACTTACGGTAATACCATGCAAATCATTGTACTTTTCAAAGAATGTATCTACGAATGATGACACTGACCATGCATGCACAAGATCTTAAAACATTTGCATATTCAAATTCAAATTCAAACAGTGTTAAAATTTAAGCAAGGTAAATTTACCCTTCGTTAGTGCTACAAAGAACATAAATTTTGATTAGTAATATTAAATACAGTAGTTTGCAGATATTTTTAGTGATAGAAAATACAGTAGCATACATAAAAGACCTGCAACTTACACTTCAATTTTTTGTACTTCATCCTCAAATGCTTTTTCTTCCTAAAATGCAATTAGAGATTTTGGAATTATTGGCAGCTTATTTGTTCAGGTATCTTGTTGGGCGTCTGTGGTATACTAAAACATCAGAGGCGCATCCAGAATTTGAAGGAGTGGGTTCAAAATGTTTCCAAAAAACTCAAAAGAGAAAGGGGAGTCTGGAGTCCTCCCCTGGGGAAATTTTGGTTCTTGGATGGCCAGAAATGAGCTTTTCTGACTTCTGAGTGTCTTTTAATGACTTTTAAGTTCTTCAAAATTCAAGGATTTCCCCCTCTTGAAAAAGGTCAGTTAATTTTATATTTTATCTCATTCTTATTAGGACTACAGTAGGCTACAGTAAGTAGGCATATCATGTGTGTAGGCCTATACATACAGAAAAAAAAATCAAAGACATACTGTAGGCCTAGGCAATATATTAAAACAATATTTAGGCCTATTAGTTGGATGCTGTACATAGTCTTTGGGTAGGCCTAAGCCTACTTTGTCTGATCTGCCAACCTAGGCCTAGAGGTTAGCATGCCTTTTGTAGGCCAGCACCCAAGTATTTTGTTTTTTTCACAGATGGATCCTTCTGGTGGTGAATTGGCCAGTACACTGGGAGACAATCCTCTACTCTTGTGAAATGCATTCTTTAACATGTACATGGGCCATACTTCACACAGGACCAATGGTTTAAATGTCTCATCCAAAAGATAGTGTGCTATCCTAACTTGTCTTTGAGATCTCCAGCTGGAACACAAGGAGAGAGGCGGATGGATTTGAACCAGGGACCAACGGATCGCCACAGTTTAGCCGAATAGGCTAAACTGCTTTCTCCTAGCCCAGTCTAGACTATCAAACTTTGACAAAAACATGTGACATGCCTAAATATGGTCATGATGACATCCCATCATGACCATATATAGGCACATCATGACTATATATGGGCATACAAAAGTTTTTTGTCAAATAAAAGTTGATAGTGTGAACAGAGCATTAGGTGTAGTGTAGGATTTGAACCAAGGCCAACATCTAAACTTGCCAAGCTACAGCTTAACTTGATTTATTTGACTTAGGACCAGTGGCGTACAGCCTATGGACTCTAGTGGGAGTGAAGCCTTGGGACCTCACTTACTAATATACAGCACTCTTCTAACAGAGCCTTTACATTACAGTCCGGTATAACTCACCCAAAACCAGCGGTTGGTATTGCCTCTCGGGCAATTTTGGTACACCTCTATATCGACTACTAAAACACAAGGCCACCAACACTTTCTGGTCCCCCCTCCCCACCCCTGATTTGTTGTTATACCACTGCTTATTTTGAGTGAATATTGATAAGCTTCCCCAATTTTTCTTTATCACTGATTATCACTTATAGTTCTTCTACCCTTATAGTAGCCTAGAGTTTCACACAATCTTATTAATATTTATGATTCAGTATTAAGTGAACAAATTTGGTAAAATCATATATACTGTAGCTTCTCTAGCACCATCACCCACACTTAACCTATACAGTGTGAGTAGCCAGTGTCATGTCTCGTATTCTACTTACTCCTTTTGTGATTACTGTCTTCTTCGGTGTTGACAAACGACTAAACGAAAACCTTGAAAAAGATAAAAATACAGTACAATAGTAGAATTCTTATAAAAAATCCTGATGAAGCTAGCTTGTGTTTCAATAACCTTTTCTAGTCAAAAGAAGGTACTAAACTTCTATTAAATAAATGTCCTCTTCAGAATTAGTGTGAATACTATTTTGAAGAATATTCCATTGAATATACAGCAGAAATACCAATCCTTATGTATATGGTCTCTCTCATGCATTTAAGCCTACAGTAGGCCAAACCATGACCCTAAAGCAACCATTTGGATTGCTACGTACAAATACACACAATTTGATGTTTTAATGTTTTATCAATTCATATTTATCAAGAACATTGCATCATAAAACAACATTATATATTCTGCTTTTTATCACCTGCATGAATAACTTTATTAGCTAATTTATACCAACATCACAAAGCAAAAAAAACCAAAAAAACTGAAGTGTGCAATATGAAATTTAAATTTGCATTCTCTGACTTTTATAATGAATACTGAATGATGATTGATGCCACAAAGGCAAGTGAAGTTAATTTAAACAAATAATTAGCTTAGGGCCCCAGGCCTACAGACAGAACCTAGCCTACATGTACAAGGCAAGAAGTATACTGCAGCTATCCCAGCAAAGGCAGTAGTTAGTAGTTGTATAGTTTTACATGAAGTGCGACTGAAATGATCGGACTACCATTATGAATATGATGTAGCCATATACTGTAGTAAAGTTTTTTAATTGCGCGAATGATACCTCAAAAACAAGCTCAAATCTGCAGGGAAAATCACTAGAAAAATGGTTGCGCTGATTCCTACTGCATAATACATTGTTTATAAATTAAGATTAGGTCACTGTCAAAGCCCAATTTTCGGCAAAATCTGCGCGAAATTGTCACCTTATTTTCCCAAAATGTGCTTCCGGTTTTCTAGGTCAAGTTTTTGTGCCAAGGATAATGTATATTCCCTGCGCAGGGGTAGCAGGTCAAAATGGCAATAAACTAAATGGCAATGACCAAAACGGTAATAACCAAAATGGCAATGAACCAAAACGGCAATGATGTACCAAAATGGCAACAGACCAAAATTGCAATGACAAGTACCAAAACGGCAGTAGGGATAGACCAAAATGGCAAAGGAGCAAAATCAATGCCAAGAGCAAGTCGAATCGTCTTTAAACTGGCCCGATATATATTAAAATTTTTACTGTACTTTGTACATTTTCATGTTTATAATTGGTTGTTATGACCAAATTGGAGATAAAATTTCCATTTTTATCTCAACTTTCATTAGGCCATCATCCTTGCATTATCTTTTATTGTTATATTTGTTTATCCTGCCTTGTGCGATTTTTTCTGTTTTGTTTGTACAATATTCTGATGTGAAATAAATTGAACTGATGACATATCAAAAAAATTGAATCAGAATGGTCTGTTAATCTTACTTGAGTTGTACCTTTTAATGCTTTTATATTAGTCACACAGTTATAAACTATAAAACCATCAAATGGAGCTATATACGAGTTAGGCCTAACTAGGTCTAACACTCTTTTGGTTTATTGCCGTTTTGGTCCATTGCAATTCTGGTCAAAATGTATTGCCGTTTTGACTAGAAAGCAGTACAGGCCTTTATTGCTATACAATACATTCTGGCGATGTAGAATAGTGTAGGTGTGTTGGCAGTGGTACTATTTATTATAATATTAGGTATCTACAGTACAGACACAAATTATAGCTTCTTATCTGCGCAAACCTCTCGTAATCTGCTCGTAACCTCTCGTAATCTGCTCGTAAGTACGTTTTGAACGTAGCGACGAGCCACTATGAAGGTCATTGTTATTTTAATTAGCTTTGCAATGATCGTAAGCTGGATCGTCGGGCTGATAAACAATGCGTAAACAATATTGAAATATAGTTTACCAGCTTTCAACACGTGAGCAATGTTGCAATTTACTAATAAACAATGTTAGAACTCTATTGTTTTGTTATATCCTACCTTATTAATTAGATTGATCATATTTTAAAACTGTGTTTAGTTCGCTAGCTAGGTAACCTAGTGGGCATTCAGTATGTTCGAATTTCGATGTCATAGGCCTACGTACGGCCTACATTTTCCCCTATAGAGGAGGAGAGCAGACGGTAATTATACTGGTAAACTTTCCAATCCGGAGAATTTTGATCAGATATTATTGTTCTGGTAGTAGGAATTTTCTTCTTAATAATACTGATGTACAAATTATTACGATTTCTACAGATCACGTTGTTTATTGTTTACCATAATTTGAAGCAGAACCTGCAAAGCGATCCAATACTAAATGGAAGTATAGAAATCGCTACCTTGCCGAACTAAGGCTAGTCATGCGAGACCGCATTTACTTCATTTTTTGCGCTCACAGCTTTTCAAAATTTGCCACGAGGTTAACCTTTAACACACTTTACTGTGTTCTGATTGGCGCGCACTCTGACGTCTGATGCTGGCTAAGTTTAATTTTCCATTGGGTTTTCCATGTGACATTCAGTAATTTTACAACCAACGGACGTTAATTCTCCTTTATATTTATTATTTATCTTACTAAATCAAGACTACAAAATATTATTTGATGAACAATCTTTTCAAATGTGTGTATTGTCATTGAGGACATCATTTTTTGACATTTAAACTTGAGGTAAAATTATTGTAAATAAAAAATAAGCTAGACCTAGGCTAATTAATTAAAAAAATAATACAGCAGTACAAACAAGTTCCTGTCGTGACAGTGGAGGAGGAGACTCCCATGAAGTCAAGGTACGTTTTTCTTATTGAAAAACAGCTCCATACTTTAATTTAAATTCAAACTCGTGTTTGTCATTCACAAATTATCAAGCAATACACTGTTTATTCCAGTAAGCTACAGCAGTCTTTCTGCACATAGAAATAAACAATATGCTTTTGCTTCGTAGGTTCGCTTCGTGTAGCCTTACTTAGATTGTTTATATCAGGCTACGATGTATCTAAGAAGCCTGCGCGCAGGTAAAATTGCAATATTTCGTGGTGGTATGGACAATTCGCAGGCCTAGGCTAGATTAGACCTAAATAAAACCAGGAGGAGTTGTTAAACTGACTATAAATACACACTATAACTTTCTCCCTGATAAAACTGAGAAAGGCTTAGGCTAGGCCTGTAGTAGTAGGGCCTAGGCTAGGACCTAGGAGGCTAGGCCAACAAACTAGACATAGGCCTAGGCCTAAGGCCTAGCCTAGCTAGCCTGACAGGTAGGCCTAGTGGGCTACAGTCTTTCTGCGGTTAAAAACTAAGACTTACAGCTACATTTTACGGGAATAAGTTATACATTATCTTTAACTGACTTTCATTGCAAAAATAACTCACCAACTCATTTTTTATATAATGAAATTTGTTTGACATTTAATTGTGATACCTTACCACAATAACATAATTGATTTCGGAAGGACGCCATCTATACATATATATTTTATCCAATTTTGTAAAAATGAGCAACAGAGGGCGTCTGCTGATCGTGACACACCGCGACGCCATGACCACAGTAAACAACAATAAATGTAAAGTACAGCTCTTGTATGCAAGCAGACGGAAGTTCAGAGAGAATATGAACGATGTTGCACTTTATTCTTCTTTGTTAAATTTGTAATCACTATTACAAATTGTTGGTATGTACAAGGTTGTATTTTTATCAATATAATTCACCATACTCTCTAGGCCTAGCCTAGGCATGACACAACACTGCAACAGCAATTAGGGGGCCGGCCTAGCCTAGGAGGAGGCCTAGGGCCTACCTAGGCTAGTAAGCATAGGCCTAGGGCCTAGGCCTAACCATGAAGTAGCAGTAGGCCTATTCTATTCTAGATAATAAGAATGTAGGCCTAGTACTGTAGTAGCCTGGCTAAGGATAAGATTTAGCCTAAACATTAACCTTTTATACTGGCATGCCATTTTAATCAATATAATTCTCCAAGCAAGCATTTAGTAGCCTATAATATATTGACTGATTCAAGTAAATACAACTGCACAATTTAGGCCTATATAACAGATCCAATGTAATCAGTTTGTATTCTGAAAGAAATAAATAAAAGTTAATTATACATAATGTAATGTCCATAGAAAAATTGTTTGTCAAGCGAAAATTCGATCTGTATAACCAGGGCTTAACTTTAGTAATGCCTGCCTAAATTCAAAGAAAACTTTGTGGACTAGGTTCCACGCATTGCCTTTGAACGCAACGTTGGCGTAAACATTACCGTAATCGTAGGCCCGTAGGTCGACGTAACCATAGCCTAAAATTAAAGCTTGCGCCTTTGACGTGCATAACATACTGTAAGCTGCCCTGCGCATGCTCAATAAATCAGCGTAATCATAGCCTATGATTAATGCTTACACCTCGGCATAAGCATAGACACTACTGTACATTATTATAAATATAAAATACTTTTGAATCGGAAATGAAGTACTGTAGGTTTATTATCCTGTTAATATGCATGTTATGACATTTTAGTTTGCAATTACCTGTGTTTGTGTATTAAACAATTTATGTATATACTTTAAGGCAATGTTTTATCAAAATGGATTAATTTCAAAGAAATTCTGAAGATGAACAAACACACCAACAACAGGGTTCACCCATCAAGAGATGGAGTGCTAACTAAACGAAATGTGAAATCTCTTAGAACAAGGCCTAGTGGACGTTTTTCACAAGGGCACTCAAGTCAAATAAATAATGCTGAAGACAGTGATGCAGACTCTGTTCATAGTGTTGTGAATATACCACGTTTGGTAAGTTGTGACTCATGTTAAAATTTATTGATAATCCATAATTCTATAGATGAAAGCCTAAAATAGCATTTAAATGAAAAATAATGAATGTAATTATATTTCTTTATAATTATCTTTTTAATTGCCTGTTACTTGTTATATAGTATTTAGGGTCTGCTGTATGTGTGTCCATCAATACATAGGTTGGTAATAATATTACATTACAGTATAACATAAATTTTCCTTTTTTTCAATTGATGTAGGGGCAGAATTATAAAAGTTGGATCACCGCAACATTTATGAAGAAAGAGTGTGTACGATATGTTCCGAAACCAAATGATCCAGATGATAAGTAAATAATAGAACGTTGTTTACTTTATTCATTGTTTTTCTTGCTGCTGTATTCTTTGATGGCAGAAGGAGAACAGCCCCAGACCAAGACCCTCATTTACAAATTGAACTAGAAAATATTTATCTGCCAACAATAAAATTTTTGGAATACAACCAAAAATGGCCATAAAAGAAAAAGCTTCTCACATGCAATTACCATGCAGTATTACGGTATCTTTTAGTATATAAAACAGTATCTTGCAGAAATAAATCTGAATTACAAAACTGAGTTGTTAAATATTAAAAACAGGAAATCACGGATACATCACATCAAAACAGCAATGATAAAAATGTGAATCAAGGTATGATAATGATCATGATGATAATAATGATAATAATAATAATAATAATAATAATAATAACAGTGACATACCGAGAATATTACTATTAATGGTAATAGTAATAGTAATAACAATAATAATAATAATAGTAGTAATAATAATACTGTAGATCTTTCCAGGGTGCCAATCAAACTTAATAACTGACCAATCAGAAGTTGCTAAATATAAAAGTAAGATTTTATTTTTTCGCCACCCTCTGACGACCTTTAAAATATACAATTTGCTAAACAACCCACTAAACAGTCTCTAGTGGTCTTCATGGAAACTTTTAAAGGGCACAAACACAAATACACATTTCATACACAATTATAGATATCAGTACTATAATACTTACAAATTTATTTATTTTTCTCGCAGATGCTATTGCGGCAGGTCAGGGAATCAGCATATACGGGAAGCCCTACGTCCCCAAGTTTGCACCACCTCAACACAGACTCCGAGTGAAATGATTAGCCCAGCACACAGCCAGGGAGACAATGTCAGTGTCCAGAGTGAATTTAACGTGAAACCCTGGGATAAATTGAAAGATGTGAAGGAGTTTCCAAATGATTCCTTTGGCAAGATTCAATTTTTAACCGGATCAGAAGCATCTTCTAAAGTGGCACATGTGCGTATTGGTAAAATCGAGAAAGTAATCGATAGATTCTCGTTTAAAATTTTCAAATCGGAGGCATGCCATCCTAAAACCAGCGTACTGTTGCTATATTAAACTGACTGTTTACCATAAGAAGGTGGCAGTCTTGTATACTTTAGTGCAAAGAAGCCATAATACTTTTACTCATAATTTTAGCAATTAGTAAGTTGATTTCAGTAAATGACCATTATTTTAAAGCTTACAATGGGGAGAATAAGAATGTACAGTTAAAATTGCCTAAGTCAACTTTGCCTTAAACTTATATAGTTTCTAAGTCGATTTTATTTTACATGCCAAATTGTTGTGTTTTCCCATTAATTAACAATGTGTAAGTTAGATTTTATCAAAGTCAAACAAATTTTCAATGTCATATTGGATTTGATTTAGGCAAGTTCAGCTGTATTAAAAAGTCAATTTTTCAATTTTTGGTCACTGATGGTGATTTTGGGATGGCAAGCCTCTTGTACGTGTTAGAGTAAGATTTACACTGTCGTTTTGTGGGACCTTCGCAACAATATCCAAAGGGCTCGGGCTTAGAGGAAAGGTCTATTGTGGAGAGTTGTTGCCGCAGCAGTTACTAGGGAGCTTTCGATTGCATGACAACGGTAGGACGTAGAACGGAATTACGTCACTAAAAGTCATCTTCGCATGCGAGAACATTAAGGTCACCTCGTCGGGTAGATTCTGGAATGCAAATTGGCCAAATCTACATATGCAGAGAACGTAGGACGCCAGGTAGACGGTCACGCATGAGTGATTCTATTCTAGCGTTGCGTCGTCGCACAATTCAAAAGCTCCCTAATATTCAAGTTTTAAACTTGAGGTCAGGGTTCGAGGCTCCACCATACATAGCATTTGTATCTTTGGGATGTCCACAACATATCTCTACACAGCTGTATAAGTGTTTGTATAATGTGCTTCTGTTATTATTATTATTATTATTATTATTAATAATAATAATAATAAAATTAAATAGAAGTAGAATGTCACTTATATCAAAATAATATATTTTTATATATTATATATTTACAATATTTTTTTTTTACCTTTCATTCAGTATGTTCGATTATCCAATGATACCCGTCCTAAAGATGTCCTAAATTTACTATCAAAGCATTGGAAACTTCCGACACCTCATCTTGCAATATCCGTGGCAGGGGGAACAAAAAATTTCACACTCAACAAACAGGATCAAGACACATTCAATAGAGGGCTAATAAAGGTAAGCATACCTGTTTAATAATATAATAATAATAATAATAATAATAATAATAACCACCACAACAGCAGCAACTGTAACAGTATTGGCACCAACAACAATTTTGTTTTCTTATGCAGTATACCGCAAATGTCCATTTTAGAAAAAAAAAACTATCAAGGTGATTTACCACCCTTCTCCCCTCCCATATACATGCAGAGTCACAGTGAAAAAAAAAGCTGGGTCATATTATGAGCATTTGCATCATTGTTAATATTGTTATGTTAGACAATTGTTATTGTTATTATGATAATGATTGTGGTGATTGTGATGATGATGATGATAATAGTGGTAATGATAATGAATAGTAATGATAATTGTTATTGTTATTATTATTATGGTTATATGAATAATTATAACTATTATTGAATGTTAATGATAATAATTACAACAGTATGCAGCTTTTCAGTGTGTTTTTGTTTTTATTGTGTGAAGGTTTTTTTTTATTTGATTGTGTTCTTGTGACAAGCAAGGGACTTATTAACTCTACCATGTGCCATGTGCAACATTTTAGTCTTGTGTAAGTTGGCTAAATACAGCTTAATAATTTTTCATCTTTTTTTTTTCTCTCATTTATATAGTGGAGTGAGGAAAATCAAACCTTCTTTGCAGAGTACTGTTTATGGAAAGATACACGGTGTGTGTCGCATAAGTGAAAATGATATTATGATACCAAGGCTAATAGAAGCTATCAATGTTATAATGCAACATGAATCAATGGTGAGCTATACCCTCTGTATGATCACTACAATGAGTGTGATGATTACACTATGGTAATTGATCATTAACTAAGCTATTCTTGTGACCACAGCTTGCAGTTTTCTAGTTAGTATGATCCAGGGGCGGATTTAAGAGAGGCCGAGCCCCCCCCCCCCCTTGGAAAGTTAAAAAAAAAAGGGGGAAAAAAAGCAAAAAAAAAAAAAAAAAAAATTGATACAAATATTTTGCGGACCCCCTAGGGTGGTGTTAACTCAATCGACCCTCTTTTGGCCCTCCTTTCAGACATCTTTGGATCCACCCCTGTGATCACACCACTACTACCAGTCCTGAGACAAATTTTCCTAACGATTACAGCCATTTGTGTTGTGTAATTACACTATTATAATCAATCATTATCTAAATTATCCTCATGATCACAATAATCAGTCTTTGTTATTAATGTGATTGCTTTTAAACGAACATTAATTATATAATAATCATTTTAGTCCTGGTACTTAATGTAATCATATGTCATGAATTCCTACTTGACATATTTCCGAGCAGTAAACAAATAACTAGGAATCCCTCTTTGACATAGAATATAAACACAGTTCACAATGTTGTAACACAAATCTCAAATAAACTTTTATTCTGTGCAAACTCCAACAAGAATCCGGTCTCAAAACAACACAATAACATTCACATTAACATCTGTTTAAAAACAAAAGCTTCAGAAAGAAAAACCTGTCATACTATATACATGAACCCTAGAATTCCAGAGCATTCTGTATTAGTCTTCAGTCAAATTACATCATAATTCAACCAATAGGCTTCTTGCTTCTACAATAATTCAGTATCTAGAACCTTTCAAACATTTCTCGTGGATACTTGTGTTCTTATAATTACCAATGAGGTTTACACTATTTGTTTGGTCAAATAAATGTTATTCTAGAATGTTCTATGTATTAAATATGTTACACTAAGGCAAGGATACATCACAACATTATTCAACAGTGAATCTTCTGTTTCACATGGTTTTGTCGACTTTTAGATAACCATCTTCAGCATGGATGCTGGTGAACAAGCAGATTTGGATTTAGCAGTACTCAAAGCCCTGCTCAAAGGTAAGAGTAGTACTCTTGCATCTTCTTCTGTACAAGCAACATGAATATAACTATATACTGTACAATGTTCATCACTTTGTTAATCACAGCTTATCGATACCAGAATCTTGAATTCTGGTCACAACCATCTTCACTGACCACTCATTCTTGTCCACTTCATGTGGTTTATATTGATCCCACATAAGCTGTCTTGATGGATAACAGCTTCCCATTTGTTCACCCACACTCCTCCCTGATCATCCACATTTATATCCACTTTAAACATTCACTCACACTGTGTCATGCATCACCATGTTATCTTCATTACCATGTCTTCATTTTCATTAACTCATATTTCTAGGCCAGTCTGCCTCCCCTGCATCACAGCTGAAGTTGGCCTTGTCATGGGGCAGAGTTGATGTTGCTGAGAGTATGATATTTGTTGGCATCAATGAATGGCCAGTAAGTATGTTTAAGTTATGACCCATACCTTAATCATATAGGTTGTTCATATTCAATTTCATAGCTGATACTGGACATATTTATAATTTGGTTCACAACAATTTTCATTATTTTATGAAGATAAAAGAGTTAATATATAAGTATACTGTTCTTTAAATTATTATTAATAGTTAATTGACATATTGTTTCTTGTTATAGCCCGGCAGTCTTGATGTGTTTGTGACCCAAGCATTGATGGAGAACCGAGTTGATTTCCTCCAACTGTTTTTAGAAAATGGCGCCATCATGAAAGAATATCTGACGGTTGCACGGCTCCGAGACTTGTATAACAAAGCAGAAATGAATAACTTTGTTCGTAAGCTTCTAGCTAGCACTACTCGTGGTCTGGTAAGGTTACACTACCAAGAATATTTCTTTGCATTAAAAGAAATTATTATTCATTCGTTAATAATAAATGATTATTTTGCCATGAGCTCGGTATTCTTTTGTATTATTAATTTTTTGAAAATAAAAATGTTTTTGGGATCAGTCGGTGTGTAATTTTACATGGGTATCAAAATAGTTTTCTTTCTCACTGATTACTTACTTACTTCATCTTTCAGTTAACTGGTCCTTTTTACCTTCATCATGTTCGGTCATTAATCCGGTCATTAACAGGCGCTCATGATGCACCCTTATACCATCATGATCGCAACATCAGTACAATTGGCCCAGAGTGTAAGGCTCTTGTTGCCATGTCAACATGTCTATCCGGTAAGTAGGTATCATAACCCATTTTATATTATCTTTTATTTGGTTATGGTAATTGCTTTATTTAGTGGAATATCTACTGAGTGTGTGGGCAGGGTGCATACCCTCTTAATAAAGCTATGGACAATATTATAATACTATTGTTATCATTATCAATATATCATTCTCATAGAGTACAAGTGATTTGTTGCAGCGGGAACAGTTAGGTTTCCAAACCTTTGAGTCGGGTTTTCAGTCCCTCACTGCGTTTTTCGCTTGTCTTCATGAGAAAGGCACTTTATCTACATTGCTTCTCTCCACCCAGGCGTATTTATGGGTACCTGGTGGGGTTGCCTGCTCCTGCGCTGATGACAGCAGCAACACTTCAGTATGGAGGCTCAATGATGTGTCAAAACGATTTGTACCTGCAAAGAAAGGCGCTATATAAATAACTGAATATTATTATATTATATTACTATTCCTGTTTGTATTTCATTATGAATACTTTATTTTTAATGATGTTTCACATGAGCTGTAAGTATCTAAATATCTTTTTTAGGATTCATGCTACCACATCAAGCCCATGTGGCCTATATGAATATAGCATCCCATGATGACCAGATATATATTGGCGAAAGCTTTTCTATAGCGGAGCTTGTCAACCCAGGCATGCACTTTCAACGCCCATTCAGAGAACTGTTCTTGTGGGCAGTTTTAGTAAGCAGGTGGGATGATTTAATTAGTATATTTTAGGAATATAGGCCAAATATTGCCAACAACAACTATATCACTGTTCTCTCATAAAGCTCTAGTGCCCACACTATCAAATTTTATTTGATAAATCTATCTGATGTGCCCATATTTGGATAAGATGTTATCTTATACCCAAATATGGGCATATAACATTTTCACATAAAATTTGATAAAGTAGACGGAACTTTAGAAATTCAGTGTTGTGGTTCCGTTTGATAGTGTTATTATACTTTTAAACACAGCTAGATTATCTTTTTTTCTGTATGTATTAGAATGGAACTTGCAGAGTTCTTCTGGGAGCGTGGTGAGGACCCAGTGTGTTTAGCTATTGTTGCTTCAAGACTGTTCCGTTCGATGTCAAAAAGGGCACAAGATCCTGATGATCAGCTAAGGCTTCTGAACAACTCCAGGTAGGCATACATTAAAGAAGTTGAAGCAAGCAAGACATGTGGTGCCTGGGTCCCTATGTGGAAAAAGCCACTTTTGGGAGATCTGCTTTCTTAACACATCTATATTTTTTTTAGCTATATGCAGTGATACCCCTCACAAGTTTTAACTTCCAGGAGACAATTGATATTATTAATTTGCGGAAGATGTGTTAGTTTGAGGGATGGCTCTGAATTTGTTGGACATGGGGCCTGATATCCTTTATGAGAGCGTAAGAGGGTGTGGTTGGCCTTTTGCTCAAAATCTCTTAGAAGTTGTCCAGGGCTCAAAGCTCTCCGAAACTAAGGCAATTTAAGGGTTTCAAAGACTTGTTTAATTAATTTCAATGAACTAATATTTTAAAAGTATCTGCAAAAAATTAAAAATTCTAAAATCGATTCAACAATTTCATTACAGGCAGTTTGAGACGCTTGCTATTTGTGTAATTGATGAGTGTTTTGACACGAATGAAGAGCTTGCCCAGATTATGATAGAGATTCCTCACAATCAGTGGGGTGGCATGAACACCCTGAAGATAGCGGCTGAGTCAGAAGCTGAGGAGTTCATTTCACGTCCGTGTGCTCAGGCTGTCCTCAACAATATCTGGATGGACGGGATACGCTGCTCATCATGGAAGGCATTTCTGGTTTTGGTATGTCCTCCGTTGCTGCTGGTGATTCCCTACAGGAAGGATTTTGCATCGGCAAATATTTGGAAAAAAGCATGGATGTTTTATAATGCACCTGTATCGAAGTTCTTTGGAGGATTGGTAGGATATGCTTTCATTCAGGCTTTATCCATCTGTGTGTCCATCTATTTCTCAATTTGTCCATCCTTCCATCTATCCATCCATCTATCTCACCATGTATCATTCCAGCTGTGCGTTTATCTACCCATCCAACCATCCGTCTACTTAAATCTGTCGCTCTCTATTCATCCATCCATCTATCAATCTCAACATGCATCGTTCTAGAATGCATTGATTTACCCATGCATCAATCTGTCCATTTTCCAATCCATCTATCTGTTTATCAATTTAATTGTATATTAATCTATATATCTATCCAGCTATGTTGGGTTGGTGGTTCTTTTTTGATGATCCAATATTTTTTTTAAATATTAAGAAAAAACATACTTGCACAACATTTCGCTAATACTCTATCACCATTCTCAAGTGAGCTGTGATGTAATTACAGCTTGGTCATAGTGTAACCTTGATTGTGTTGAGGTCTGTTGAGGTCGAAGTGCGCCATCAATTTTCTTGTTGTTTTGAGGACTGGTAGTCTTGGGGAGGGGGGTACCCCTGCTTCGCAATTGATGACTTTGTCATAAATATGCGACAGTTCGTGCCCACCGTCATCTCTATTTATCCTTTGGTGTCCTTTCCTTCTGATTTGGAGAGATTCATGGAGTCGTCTTTCTTTGACTAAGATGGTTGCATCCCAATTGGGGACATGGCTTGTGCAAGCTGTAATTACACCATAGTTCACTTGAGAATGCTGATAGAGTATCAGTGAAACATCGTGTGAGTATGTTTTTTCCTAATATTTAAAAAAAATATTAATTGGATCATCAAAAACGAACCAATAACCCAATATTTAATATTGGATCCAGATGAATTTTTTCAGTGATATCCAGCTATGCATCCAACTAGCCATCCATCCTCCCATTAAACCTTTCATTCACCTATTGATCCTTTTAACCATCCTTCCTTCTATTTACCTGTCAATATTTAATCATCCATCTATCTATCTATATCTGTGCCTTGTTATGGCAACACTATATTTTTTTTATTTTTTTTGTAATGAGGTAACAATTTTTGTTTTCTTTTTAGATCACGTATATGCTGTTGCTACTCCTGTTTAGCTACGTGTTGATATTCAATTTTGAATCAAAGCCGTCACCCTGGGAAAATATACTATTTGGCTGGATTTGCACTCTCATTATTGAGGAAATTCGACAAGTAAACAATTTTTTCTTTTATCTATTGTATTGTAGACAAAATTAAAATTCTAGTCTTTTTATTTCCTATGCATATAATGCAATAGAAACTATTGTATTCACTATTTTGCACGTGTGTGTGGGTGTGTGTGTTTGTGTGTGTGTGTGTGTGTGTGTGTGTGAGGACATCTTCAGGAAAAGTTTTCTGACATTCTTTTTTACTGACAGTGACATGCCTAATGGTACCCTTGGGATTAGTTTTCTCAATAGCCATCCATCTCTTTATTGCCACTGCACTCAATCTTGTCAGACTGGCCCACATTACCCTTGTGGAAAATATTAAGGTGCCATTAACATATAAACTAGTGAAAACAGTACTAACATAACAAAGTATTGTGTTGATACTTCATTTAGTAAATAATAATTTTCAAATAAAACTAAAATATTGTTATATTATTGTAATTTTATTTTTGTCATATATTTTTTTTGAACACAGACATTTTGACCCGAGTTTGATCCAGATTGTTTACTTGATCACTAATAAAGAGTCTAAGTGATCAAAGGAAAGAATTTGTATTAAAATACTAACACTGTATCTAAAGTACAAGGGGTGAGGGGGGGGGTTGGTTGGTGGAGGAGGGAAGCTGTGCCTTCATGGATATGTCCCTGCGAAAGTTAAAAACAATCATAGTTGATGTATTGATTATTTTCACTACCGCAGCATAACACAACATACAGCCTAAATATGTTTTCAAGTTGAAATATTTTGTGTATACAATTTCAGTCATATAACTTCACTATTATTCTGCATAGGAACGTTGATGCCTGCTAAGGCTCTGGTCTAAATGTATATATTTGGTTATTTTTCTTTATTTCTTTCTATTTTAAAATGACCACATTCAGTTGACCCTTAAGTATATTTTAAGAATGAACCTGGAAGACTTGTTATATGCTAAATTTCCCTTTCTGGAATTTCCTGAAAAATAATGGAATTGTCTGTTTCAGGCATCATGTGAAATAAATGTATGATGTAATTGAAACCTCTCAAGGTGTTCATTCTTCTTTATGCTTAAAAAAGCATAAATAGAGCATAAATCTGTTTTGGAAGTTACACCTTAAAGAAAAAACCCAATAAAGTAACTTCTTCAGTGCACCTTATAAAACTGTGTGAAACCAAGCTAGCTTCCTCATTTGTTGAACCAGAAATGATCTAAATTAATGAAGACTGGATGGCATTATCCATTTAGATATTTTACTCATTACAGAGTACAATACAACTATTACTGTTGATTTGTGTAGACTATTTCATGAATACTTTATTTGAGGTATATTTATTCAAAATTCAAAATGCAATATTAAAAACATACATAGCAGCAACAAGGCTGAATTGCATATGGATTCACAAAGGAAAAATGTTAAAATGGCAGAAAAATGACAACACAAAAAAATACAGTAAATGAAATACAAAGATGACATACAAAATATAAAAATCGAGAATTGAAATTATTGAAGTTACAAAAAAAAAAATCTGACAAAAAAGGGAGGGGAAGAACACTAAGCCACCAGGAAGGAATTGAGTTTAATTTTGATTTATTATATCAGCCAAAACTGGGCCTGGATTGGACTTGGTTTTGCTTTTGTAACGTTTAGAAATGTCACAATGTGGATAAATGTATAACAATATGTTATTAAAAGCTATATGTACTCCATTAAACTCCTTTCTGTTATTTGAAAATACTAAACTTAAATTTATTATAGAATTTTTGCTTGATATATTTTACCTTTAGTTTGTGATACCAAATGAGTTTGAAACATGGGATGAGAAGATACGTCAGTGGACGCGTAGTGTCTGGAATTGGATTGACGCTGCAATGTTGAGCCTAGCCTGTATGGGGTACGGCTTACACTGGAGCCCAACAGCGATGGAAGGTGCCAAGGGGTGCTTCTCTGCCAGCTGTTTTTTATTCTATGTCAGGTTGCTTAGGATGTATGCTGTTAGCACCCATCTTGGTCCTAAAATGGTTATGATAAGGAAAATGGTTAGTATTATTGTTAAAGAGGTTTTCTTGAAAGCTGATGTTCTATTCAATTATAATTTATGTGTAGTGTGGATGTACCCAACCCCCCAGTGGCAACAAATTTGTTTGGCTATTTAGTTTAAATCCCAAAAATGACCATTACTTTTTCATTGGAATAGGGATTATATTTCCATTCTCAGTTTTTTCGCACCCCTTACAGCAGTTCCGCATTCTCAATTTTTCCGCACCGCCCAGTTATGCCCCTGTCTGGAATCTGTAATAGAATGGGCAGATCATCCCAAAAACACTATACCTGTATTTATAGTATTACATTTCCAGCTTAGCTGATATTCAGGAGTCCTTAAAATGAACAAATTCAAAATATAATAAGATGCATCCAAAACAAAGTTTCATTATAAGGCTTAGGTAGTGGAGTTCTTAAATCATGAGAAAAAAGTCCTTTGCTGTTACAGGATTTGTACCTAGGGCTTTGGAACTGGGAGACAAGCATCTTATACCACCAAACTACATCTCCAGTTGAGCTTAGGGGCAGCAACTACCTGCTGTTATCACTAATCATTATGAGATGACTGGAAGAGATAAACAAACCCTATGTTTTTAAAATCTATTTAGCTTCCTAGATCCTAAGTAAATAAAACATTTTAAACTCTGTCTTGTTTTTAATGTTTAGTGTCTTCTATTTAGTGCCTTCTAGTTTTTAATAATTTATTGATTCATTGCTTTCATAGATTGTGGAGCTACTGCTGTTCCTCTGTATTTTACTCGTCTTTATGATCGGTTATGGTGTAGCCAGTCAGTCTCTTCTTTTTCCCAACCAAAGGAACATTGCTGAAGCTATTACTGGTGTCTTCTACATGCCTTACTTCCAGATATTGGGTGAATTGTTTCTGGATGTTTCGATTGAAGGTATTTCATGTTTTAATTATTGGATTTTTTCATTATTGCTATGTTATTCACCTGAAGTTGACTGAAGCAACTCAATCAAAATGTCAAAACATTCTTAAAAAAAAAAAAACAAAACAAAACAAAACACAGCAAAAACTTTGTTATTATTGTTATTGTTACTTATAATGTTATTTATTTCTATGATTATTTTTGTTTAAATTACTATTTTGATTATAAGATAGGAAAACATACTTTTATTTAATAAGTTAATAAAATTCTTTCGTCCAGCAGTTGACAGGAATGCTTGCAGGATGAATGTTTGCACAATAAATTCTCAACCACTTGCTAAATTTAAGTTATATTGCAGAAGTATTTTATTCATTGTTATTGGTGCTATTTTAATATTTATCTCTCTTGATACCGGACATCGCAGTCCCAACCCCATTGTTGAACTTTGCCTTCCCACTTTTTGAAAGTTTTCTGCAAGTACTTGTACCCACTTTATATCCTTCTCTCTCTAGTCATTTATGAGTCTTTTCAAGCCTGGTGCCTTTATGCTTCGTATATATCCAAACTATTGAGATTTTTGCGTATCAGTTGAATTGGGTAATATTAGTCATACATATTGTTTTTGTAGGTAAGCTAGAAGATTGCAGTAATGACCCAGATGATAACCTGCATCCTTGTCCTGAGAAGCACCTCTTGGTTTCAGTACTGTTAGTTATCTATCTGTTGGTAGGAAACGTCTTGCTGTTGAACCTCCTCATTGCAATATTTAGGTGAGTTTTTGTGCTTTCATCAATCAGTTACTCACTCAGTCAATCAAACAATTATTCAATCAATTACTCAATCAAAATTAGTCAATCAATCAATCAGTCAGTCAGCCAGTCAAGTGATAAGTTAGTTTGTCCATCATCGATCAATTGATTAACCAGACAATTACTGGGCCCTGGAGTTGTGCTACGTGGGGCCAATGACATTTCATGGGGTATAATACCTATGCCCATTGACACAAAGTTTTTCTGCTGATCTCAAATAAGTATATTTTTGAAAACCTGTTTGCTACCCAACATAAAGAAGAACTAATAAAAATATCTGTTATTTTTTCTTTTTCCTCAAGCATCTTTTAAGCATTTCTTTTAAATAGATTTTTAAAATAGATTTTAAATAGATTTTAGTGCTATAAAAAATATCTCTATATTTTCTACAGTTTTGTCTTTGATGAAATTCAAAGCAAAGCACTCCAGATATGGAAGTATGAATCGTATGCACTAGTGATGGAGTATGCTGATAGACCATCTCTCGTAGCACCATTTATTATCATTGAACATATTTATATGACCATCAAATGGTTGTACAGGAAGGCCGTCAAGTCATGTGACAAGCAACATTTCCAAAAGGGTATGATTTATCTTTCTCTCCTGTTCTTTAAATGTTTAATATGAATCAAAACACTTGTTTTATTATAGGTATATTATACTGACTTTAAAATCATAAAGTTTTAAAGTTCAATTCTAATATGGTACTGAGTTTAAAATCACAATCATAACAGTTTAAATTTAATTTTAAACAAAATTTTCATGTTTATAAGTAGGCAAAATTCAGGGGATTTTTGTTGGTGAGAGGATGGGGGGGAGGGGCTCCACATCTGCCATAAACTAATATTTTTTACAGTGTTTTTAAAAAATGGCTGGTGAAATTTTACTCAGCGCTAAAGCCTTATTAGCCTATTTTTAATATAATGTACAGTAGTTGGATTTATATAGCACTTTATACCCCAAGTGTCAAAGTTCTCGAGGTGTGTACTAGCCTGTACTATAACTTGCTACTTCCCTAAATTCAACCCTGAAATAAGCCACTGGATGTCATCATGTTTTTGAGAAAATTATAAGTTTGTTCTGAATTCAATCAGTATTCTTTAATTTGTTTTTGCAAAGGTCCATTATACAATGCCAAGAAAAAAGTTGAGTTGAGAGTGTTTGAGAAGGAATGTGCTGCAAGCTATCGTCGCAAAAAAGCAAACTTCGAAAGTTCACAAGTTATAGAGAAGGTCGGCAGGATTGAGAAAAGGTAACAAGATTTTACATTCTTGAAATAAATAATATTTTCATTATTTTCAAGGCTAACACATTATCAAGCTTATACACTTTAAGGCTCACACATTCGGCGTGAGACTCCTACATTCGCAGTCTGTCCGTCAGGGAGAGCTGCCCCCCATTCTCAGGAAAAATAATGCGGATTCTTAACCTATTTTCAGTTCCCTAGGGGAAGGGGTTTTTAAAACAAAATCTCCCACCTGCAAATTGGTGTAACTTGGCATCTATGATATAAAAGCCTGGTAGCCCTCTCGCTTCCCCATCAAACTTTCTGTGATCTTCCACAGGATTTTAACGCGTTGACTGCCAAGCCTTTTTTTCCTAGTTTCACCCCATACTAGAAGGCATAAAGGGTGCCACCATGTTAGAAATCATTCACATAAACTTTAATGAAACAACAAAATGAACAAACATACGGTATTTAATTTTAGATAATTACTTCCGGGCACTACCCTGAACCACATGGGCAAGAGTTCACGCTCTGGCGACCACTCTCAGCAAGTTTATATGCAATACAATAATAGTATGTGTATAGCCAGGGGTGGATGTGAACTCGCGTCCTGCCTCCCTGACGTGAATTCATATCCCTTGTAGGGAACATGTTAAATGACACCACCATTCTTTCAAGTTTACACAGAGTGTGCATCTTGACCCCTTTCACTAATTTCCCTAGTTATTTTACACATCTTAGCAAAATAGCATCTTTGCACATAAAAACAATGACTCTGTAAAACAAAATAGTAAAAAAGAAAATCTTGATTCCTTATGTTTTTTCAATTCAGACTTGAAGAATCATTGAAACAGACAGAACATAATAAGGATGATTTGAATCAGCAGTTCATGAATTTGAATAAAAATATAAAGAATTTGCCAAACATGCCCCCAAGAATGGAGACACCATCCTCCATTGCCAATTCACAACTGAGAGAAGCCGGGCTACAGCACCATCATGATCCTCCTGAGAAAGATGTTCCTAGTAAAGGAGTTGATAAGAAGACAAATAATGAACTTCCTGTGAAAGATTCTGAGCAATTTACTGATAGGAGGAATGATGCAAGATATCAGGAACTGCTTATTGAGGATGAGACCCATAGTGATTCAAAACAACTTGACGAGAAAGGGGTGGTAAGAAGTGACCACACTATTCCCAGTCAGGTTGGTCTTCTCTACCCACAAGAGAAGTCTTCAAGGCCCTTGATTGATGAGTTCGATCGGAACGGCAGACATGCAAAGAAAAAGAGGCGTAAAATAAAGCACGTAAAGAAACCTAAACATGATTCAGAAAATCCGACAAAATTGTGTAGCATTCCTGAACGTCTTCAGGATGAAGAGTCTTTATTGGAGGGTAGCGATCTTGAGCAGGCTAGCCTGGGCCCTGAAGAAAACATGATACAAGCTAGCCTTGCAAATATACAGGTGATTGCAAGGCAACAAGCCACAGCGTTTGTTGATCTGAAGAGAGGAATTGATCTTCAGATGCAGCTGGTACAAGCTAGGTTAGGAAAGCTTGAAAAAGAGTCACAAGGAAACAAAGATATGTTGAATAGAATTGAACACCTGTTACAAATAATCAATCAGACAAGTACATAATTTATAGAATAATGTGAACAATGTCTTGAGTGTTGATTAATTCTGATGCCCTGAAATCACTGAAGTCACTGAAGCCAAAGAACATTCCAGAGATGGATTATAGGATTTGAAGATCGCTTTCAGGTTACATTTGGCACATAAATGCATTGCGCGGAAGATTAAAAACTATAATTAACTTGATGTGTATCTGATAAAATATCTGAAATATTAATATAAGTACAGTACTACTGTATATCAACTTAGAGTAGATATGCTCAAATGCATATAAAAAAAATGTGTGAACTTACTGAATATTGTACTGTAAATGTTAGTATTAGTGAAATCTTGATTTTATAGAATTTTTATATATATTTATAGTGAGTATAAGTGTACTTTAATTTAATATAACTTTACCTTTTTATATTTTTGAAATAATGTTCTTATATTATTGTTTGTCAAGGCACTTTCCTGAATAAAGTAATGAAATGAAATGTGTTACAGACACCATCAGATCTTTGGCATACTATAAACAGACAAGATTTGAAGACTGATGATTTAGAGCAGTGTCCAAGTTTCAAAAAACACAAGATATCCATGGTTTGTTTGATTGGATATATCTGAAACAAGTATGTACAGTATACAGCATCAAAGTGCGATCAAACATACTCTGTTTACTTGAGAAACCTTTGATACGATAGAAATAAAATAAGATATTTTACATGGCTGGCGGAAGCGGGGGGCCCGGGCCCCCCACTTTTTGGCGAAAAATATATAATGTCTGGAGATTTTTGATCGTTTACCTAAAAGAAGGGCCTCA